AAGTGTTTACTTGTTTGTCGCTGGATAAGCTCCTGTCGCTCTGCCGATGGATGAATCGAGTTTTGTTTATCGTTCATTAGAACAAAAGAGAACGCAAGCCGTTCAGGCATTGCAGCCCGAACTGGGCGCTGACATGATCGTTTTGTCGGAATGCGTCCTTGATTGGTCGGTCACAGCCATTGACGTCTTGATTCATGATGTCAACATTCATTAACTGGCAACCCCTCGGTCACCTTTAATATTCGCTTAAATTAATAACGATGTGGCTACGATCATGGATGAAATAACTTATTATGAAAATAAGTAAATGTACTTTGGATTTCTCGATTTTATTTCATTGACATAAAAATAAGATTTAATAAAGGTAAAAGCGAACAGCGTTCGATGAGCTACTGCCAGTACTGCAGAGAATCGGCGGTACAGCTTTTTTATTTGAGTTGACTGGCTCGCCTTGTTTTTCAACAAAGTTCAAGTGGCGCGAAGACCGTTCGCCGTGCCGCATTTTTAGGTACATGATATATAGTAAATAACCAGGAAAGATCAAATATCAATATCATCATCATGTCGGCGGGGTTCCTTTGGAGCACACCGGAACACAGCCGAAGTTTTTACTTAGTGATGAAACTAGCACAGTATCATAAAACGGTGTGATCTGCATGATAATTTTGCACACAGTCACACGTGCCAATCACACTCACAGAAACTGTACTGATTGATTAGTCTGTAGACTGTACACTGGCTGTCACTGTCAGTTCACCTGCCACTGATACAGTGTACACTGCATGCTGGCATACTAGATATTACTTACTGTACCATACCCGGTATAATAATGATAGTTTATAATAGATTTAGTAATTGATAACCGTGACATGATTGACTCTTGTAAAAGTTTTAGTGTTTACTTGTATACCGGTAACAACTAACATGCTCATTGGCAGTCATGCGTGTGACGAGGTAGCATTCGGCGCAGTCAATTTTCCACTTGTAGATATCAACGAGTTGAGATTGCATTCCGTAAATATCAACGTAGTGTATGTTATGTTCTCATACTTGTCGGTGGTTCACTTAACGCTGATATAATGACAAGGTAGTAAGTCCTTCAGGTAAACCTAGATAAACAAACAGGTGGATAATGATGATGTTGAGTGGCAATGCAACTGGTGCCTCTAAAGTGGGTTTGCGTGCTGTGGGAGTGAAGCCTGACTTAAAAAATGTCAACGTCCGTTGCTTTCCACAACACCGCGCAGGGTAGGTGTTCCAGATTGGAATCATGCCCCGGGGAAAAAGAGAGAATTTGAATGCATTGTTGGTTGCAGTGGCAGTGCCGAAATTTGTGGGTTTTTCGATCTGGTACCTGACATCCCGGGATCAGATATTATTCGCCGGTATTGGCTATGAAGGTGGTTTACAACCTTAACATCATTACACTCGAATTAAAGCGTCTAGGATACATAAAGTTGTTGCACCCGCAGTTTTGGGTCTATAAGAGGCTGACGTACCTGCTATTATCGTCCGCATAGGTTTTGTAACAAATCTTGCAATCTTGTTTTGTATCTTTTCTAGCTTATATATATATTTAAGCTGAGTATAAGCTAGTAACGAGTAGTGTTAGTACTATACTGTTTTTCCTTCAACAGCATCCACAGGAGGCTGGGACGCAGCCTGACGGCAACTCCAGCCAGTGCACCAGCCACCGGTCTGTCAAGTGATGTATGGCACACGCAGCTGCGTGCGTCGCCTAGTGCAGTAAGTTCCGTCAACCAGTCATGGTTCCATTGCCCTACATAGGTGGACCTCCTGCGTGCGATCACATTTCTACTTATACTTTGTCCAGCAAATAGACAACTAACCAATTCTGTCTGTAATAATTAAGTCAAAAAGATGTAATTCTGTTTGATTTACGCTCTCCGACATTTAACAGCTAGGCAAGTGAAACATCAGTGTGATATCGCGGCAATCGGACTAGTTCAACCGAAGTCTAACGACTGTAAGACGTTCATCTGTATCGTTCGTTAGCAACGACAATTGCGCTCGAAACCGACTACGTCTCAACTTGTGGCAGTGCCACCATTTAACTCTCAATATTCAACCGTTAGCCTAATTCTCACTGGCGATACCTGGTACCGGTGAAACTGACTAGAACATAGTACTATATGACCCTTGGTTGTCCTCACAGGCCTGTCAATACGCCTACAAGACACGGCCAACACTCCTAAGTGTCGCGAGTGACAAGCGAGAGAGCCTGAGGAAGGTAAAACGAGAGGCTACGGCGATCGTGGCCTTTTGCAGCAATAAAGCATCGTCGCAAACGTAATAGTTTATTTTCGATTGGTTTCGCGTGAAGCAGCAGGCGCCGCAGCCGATAAGCTTCGCGACTCCCGCGACCAGCCGCCAATGTGAAAACGGATTCTCCTTCGACGCCGGCGCCCTCTACGTAGCTACCGGCGGACGCCGCCGCAGTGAGCGACATGAGTTCCTTCCTCTTCTTTCCTGATCGGCCGCGGTCCTGCTCTGGGACTCTAATTGATCTGAGACCGAAGGGGTGGTCACTGCGAGAGCGTTTAACTTCCCCTGGTCACGTCCATGAAGTTAAATCTAAGCATATAATAAATAACAATATAATAATCGTAATAACTGTCTCTATACGGAGTGCTATTACGGAGAATATCATTAAGAGTATTTATGCTGTTGTTGATGTGCCCCCCGCCCGCCCCCCGACCCCACCCCACCCCCCGCCCCCCCCCGCCCCCCCCCCCCCCCGCCCGCCCTTATTTAATGAGAAAAGGTTTGTCATATATATGCTCGTCCCGGCGGGGATTGAAGCGGCTTGTTAGAAGGTGGATGGCGTGTCATGTATTAAAAGTTTAGGCATTACTGACCGTGAGTACGAATCTTAAGTTAAGATTTCGGCCATGCCGATCGCTTGCGTAGCAGCGACGTTGTGTGACCAAGTCTCGCTCGCGGATTGCAGGGTTCGGATACGCCACGGCCGGCATCTTACCCGCCCGTAAAAGCTGGCGCGCTCACCGTTTTACTTAACATGACTGGCGGCGGCGATCCACGCGCCGCGGGATTGCGGCGCATAGGGGGGCACCACGCGCGTCGACGCTCGCATGTCGGGAAGGAGCGACGACCGATTGGCGGTGGCGGATGTGGACATTCGGGAGGTGGGAGGAACAAGAACGGTTCACCGGCCTCGAGCAGCGACGACGACGACTGACGCATCAGCACTGGTCTAGTAGGTTTCGCTAGCGGGAAGAGGAGAGGGAAGGAAGGGAAGGAAGGGGAGGGAGGGCGAGGTGTTTCTTCTGCGTGGATCTGTTGGAATCTTAGTTGTTTAGAATTGAAGCTTTTGGTTCGCATGATGGGGGTGTTAAGTAAGTGTTGTTTTCATTCGTGATTTATACTAAGGCAGAGAGGGGAGTGACTCAGGTGAGTGTTTCTTTTGCGGGGATTCGCTGTTCTGAATCTTTTAAGTTTGTTTTGGATCGAGCTTTCGGATTGCGGGGATGAGGAGGAGGGGGTGTAAGGCGAGTGGTGTCTGTTCGATGATTTGCTACTAGAGGTGGAGAGGGGAGGTGAACTCAAGGGAGGTGTTTCTCTTGCGGGATGCGATTTAGGAACTTTTGTATTATTGATTCAATCGAGTTTCGGTTGGGAGGAAGTGGGGTAAGGCCAGCAAATTGCCTTTATTCCCCCCCCGATTTTTTTTTTTGAGTGAAAACATTTGAGTGGCGCACTGCGGCAGCAATTTCCGTCGGTGGATGCGCGTAGGCATCAATGCCGTCCAGGGGGGGGCCCCTCTCTCATCGGCATGTTCTGTTGTTTGCGACAGCAGCGGAAGCTTCGGCGGCATCGGCGAGCGACGAAGACGAGCGCATGGGATTCGTCTAGTGCGCCGCCGCTCCGGCGTCCGCAGGTTCGCTCCGCGCGGCTTTCGACGATGGCGCGGCGAAGGGCTAGGTGGCCGTGGCATCACTGAGCAAGGCGTCGCTGCTGTCACAGGCAAGAGGTGAGTCGATCATCTTTATTCATTATTTATTTATTTAATTATTATTTTATATTATTATATATGTTTTCCTTAATGTATTTATTTCGTGCAAACTGTGTGGGTAGTTAAATCGTAATTGGTAACGCGATATCCAACCTGCAAACGAAGTGGCAAAGTTATATGTGTATACATATATCATATATATGTTCATAACATATATAAAGCATTGCACAGCGCTGTATGCCTTTGTGTAAATATTAGCATATTACTGCTGGCTGGGTTGTGCATGTTCATTACATCTCAACTAATATGTTATGGCAGTAAATAACCTGTTTCATGCTACATGAGGTTACTGGCAGTCGATCTGCGATGCCATATAGATAGATGGATATAGTCTGATCAAGCATTCGTTCACGCATGTATTTTGTTTTGCTTATGTGTTATGTGGGTGAGATCTGACGAGATTGTCTCTCGATGTGGATTGTGCGGTATTGAATGTCGCGCATCCCCCCCCCCTCCCCGCTGGGCAATCTCGTTTAATGTTGGTGCGGTCGCCTTACATTTCAGTGAGAACAAGGCGGTAAAGAGACCAGCTTACCGCGAATGAGATCATCACACCGTGGAAGATTCAAGTGAAGTGTTGACGAAGAGTGATGCTTGAGAGCCAGACGCACTCGCGAGTGCGTGCGTTAATGTGTGCGCTGCGTGCATGGTATTTACGTCGATTAAATACATTCTATATGTTCGTGATTTTTTTGTTTTCTCGTTTTGACGTGACGAAATGTGACATGTGCGCGTGCGTGTCTGTAATTTTGGCGTTTTTTATTTCGCCGTCAACACACGATTGGCTGTAATGCGTGCGTATCTGTAATTTTGTGTCTTCTATTCGACGTCGACGCAGACCGCTGGTAACGCGTGCACTCTCGTGCTCTCTCTCTCTCTCTCCTCTCTGCTCTCTCTCTCTGCTCTCTCTCTCTTATCGCTCTGCTCTCTCTCTCTCTCACTCTCTTTCTCGCTCTCTCTCTCTCTCTCTCTCTCTCTCTCTCTCTGCTCCTCTCTCTCTCGCTCTCGCTCTCCTCTTGCTCTCTCTCTCTCTCTCTCTCTCTCTCTCTCTCTCTCTCTCTCTCCTCTCTCTCTCTGCTCTCCTCCTCTCTCTTCTCTCTCTCTCTTCTCTCTCTCTCTCTCTCTCTCCTCTCTCTCTCTCTCTCTCTCTCTCTCTCTCTCTCTCTCTCTCTCTCTCTCTCTCACTGCGCTCACCTCCCGTTCTTTCTCTCTCTCCCACTACGCTCACCTTTCTCTCTGTTTCTCTCTTCTTGCTCTCGTCTCCCTCTCTCTCTCCTTTCTCCTCTCCCTCCCTCTCTCTCTCTCTCTACTCTCTCTCTCTCTCGCTCCCTTCGCCCTGCTCTCATCTGCACTGGCACATTGTTTACAGGAAGTATGTGAAGAGCCAGAAGGACGTGCGTGAGCAGATAGCGCGCATGACGTCGCGCGCGCTCTACAGGGTGCGTGACGACGCCGCCAAGAGCTGCGCGCGTCCTCGCCTCGTCAACAACGGTCTCCAGCAGAACGGCCGCCCGTCGACAAGCTCAAACACCAGACGGCGCTGGTGAGTCGTCCGCAGCCGCGGTGGGGCGTGTCGCGTCGTCGTGCGCGATCACTCGCAGCTGGTTGTCCGAAGTCCGTTGTCATTGACCGCTGCGTTGTCGTGGCAGGCATTAGTCCTGTTGGTCATTGTCATAATCGTTCGTTGCGACACTGTCGCATTATGTGCACTGTCCCCCACTGTCGTATAGATCATAAATGATTCATTGTCATATTGTTCATATCAGAGGAAAAATATGTAAAAATTTATTTTCGGGGCTACTTTCAAGGCTCGCTGTGCTGGAAAAATAAGCACTCTAAAATTTGTTTGGCATTGAAGCTCTAATGAAATTGTCCGGGGGCTGCTTTTTGCATTCCGGGCTAAATCGGCCCACCGAGCCCCCCGTGTATTTTTTCACTGGTTCATAATAAATAGTTAGTGTTAGTGGCATCACATGTATAAAATCGTTGAATGATGTATGTTTGTAATGTTGTATGATAGTAATTGATAGTCATGATGATTATAATATCAGGCAACTATAGTTAACCTTATTGTTAAATGAACGGTTATAATACTCGCATGATAGTTAACGATAGTCATAGTTATGATAATAGTGATACTAAGATGTTATATTGTTATTTACTATTCCTCGGCGGCAAACGGAAAACTCACGGCACCTCGTGAAATGCTACTCTGCATGAAAACCGTTCCCACGAACTCAACTCACAAGCGCTACTCTGTGAATTCGCGAGCTATTCGATTCGACCCACGACTGGAGTTCGCACACGTACCTTTGTGGCTTCGTGCATCACCTGCAGCTGGGCCGCCAGACATACGAATGACTCATGGATTCTGTGAAGCACCGCCAATAATTCTGAAACGCAGAGAGATCAAAGAAATGACGATGAGTAAAGGAGGCAAATTCTGAAACGGCACAGCACGACATGGCGTGGCATGATACGATGACGCATGATGACACATAACATCACATGATGCATCACATGACCAAAACGACTGCATCGCCACGATCCTAGATTGTCACGACTACAAGGAAGCTGCAAGGATGCTAACGACATCGGGGATGCTGACGAAGCGAGGATGCCGATGCTGCGAGGATGCTGATGAAGCGAGGATGCTGATGAAGCGAGGATGCTGATGCTGCGAGGATGCTGATGAAGCGAGGATGCTGA